TCTGACCAAGGCGTATCCAGTGCAGGCGAGGATGACGTGCCCAAAACTCCGATTGAGGAGCTGAGCTTCGAGTTGCCTGCGGCCAAGGGAGAATAGGATTGGACGACGATGTAGGTCGCGTGGGAATAATGTAGTTATGTATCAATGAAAATAGCGCTTTTGACCGATAGATATTCTAGAACCGGGTGAAACAGTCGTTTAGCCAAGTTATGTAGAATTACTTAGTACGTCTATGTTGACGTTATGCCTCCGACCAAGTAGGTATACTGTTTGTGTAGGAAACCCCGACTTTCTGCTTTAGGGCTCAGGACTAGTGTGTGTCACCGGGAGTGGCACGCATACGAAGAAGTAAAGTGCCCTGCTGACGACGCAACAAACGATCAACCCTGCACGACTGGGAGCCGAATAAGTACATGTATGCGCCCCAAAAAGTAGTGGCACAAACAATAGACGATACATCTGAACTACGAAAGGAAAATAATTACTCAATCAAAATCGATTGTCTACCGAGTATGGGTACGACACCAAAGTTTAAGATTCAGGAGGGGTTTCGCCGAACGTCTTCGACCTCGTCATTGGTTCGCGGGTAGCAACATGAATTCTAGGCGGAGTTTTTAACCTCCCTCTCCCTCCTGCTTTGGCTCCATCGCCAACCCTCCATTAGTATAATCGACCTCGTCCTTTAGCGAGTTCGATATCGTGGCTAACGGTTTTGCTCATACTCACAGGGCTCGCATTCAAACTCGAAGAGCTTAGCATCACCAAACATACCAAACCAGGCACTGGAACTGGACGCATACTGGATATAGCGGCGAGGCGATAGGAAACGATACATTGGCCTCATAAAATGTAAAGACGCCGAGGGTGGAGTCGTATGCGAGGTGGACTGGGGTGAGAAGCGCTGGACGTCGGGCGAGATGGGCAGGTGTGCTCTGAAGAAGATGAGAAAGGCGCAGAAGCCGGTAAAGACCCGGCTGTAAATATGAGTGCTGCGAATATCCTAGAGGACGAATTCATCTATCACATACCAAGACGCAGTGTAGCCAGGCGTTTTTCAAACCAGGAATTATCTTGAAATGAGTTTTATTCGGCGTGTGAGACATTTGCTCATGTACGCTATGAAATAAACTGAATATATGCTAGATTAAACTACTCTAAGCCGTACGCTGACCCAATAAATTAATGAGCTTCTGAATAGGTGCATAGGGAACGTTGATATGTGGGGGTCTTCAGTCTGCAAACACTTGCGCTTGTTCGTGAAATGCATCCAAATTTATGGAATCCGTCGTCAGGGAACAGGCAAATACCTACGTTTCCTATACCCCAAAATTGATGCATATATGCGTGACAACTATCTCCGTGGGGCCTGGCTGGAATCGCAATAAAACCTATGTAGCACTTGGGGGATAATATGAGGAGGGGAATCTGTCGCTTGATACTAAAATGAACAGTAAGACGGCTTAGCAAAGTGGTTACTGCGATTGATTCGAAACAACCGCAGGTTGCTTACATCATCAATTCCTCTCTGAGGGCGTAGGTTCGAGTCCTACAGTCGTCGAAGCCTTTTTAGCTTATTTTTGGTTCACTGGCATGCGTACAAAATGTTGTTCAGGTCGAATCCAATTTTTTAGAGTTTTTTCCAATTTCTTTTTGGCGGCTCACTGTGAAGCATCAAGCTCTAGAATCTTCACCAGCTTGCAGATTCGCTCAAGATAATTTAGTTCATCGGCTTACGTGTGAGTGATCTCGCCTGTGTCGGTTGTGACGTCATCCCGCCGCTAAGGTGACGCCGTGACGGGAATGATCACGTGTTGTCGGTGTGGCTGGAACCTTTGTTTGGCTCGTTCAAGGGTCTCAAGGCCATCGCACTTTTTCTTCTCTCTTCCTCGGCCTTTATTAAACTTTAGTTAGATACCGTAGTTACTTAGGTATTTAGGTAGTTAGGTAGTTCCTCACGTATAACTGTCACTTTCTTAATCCCCCGCGCTCCGCTGTGTCTCGCTTTCCACTCTTCCCACGCCTTCTCGTTGTTTTTCTTTTTCTCTGTGCGGTTCGGCCCTGTGTTCGTGTAGCACGTTAAATATGTATTCAAAAAAAAGTAAAGGAATGATCACGTGATCATACGTCGCTCCTCCACACGAATATTCGACATCCACGTATCGTTTTTTATGTATGCTTTCTTCTGTCTCACTCTCCTGGGATTAAAAAGGGTTAGAATTATGGTGATACCACGACTCACCTTGAAAGCCAGAGGCTCCGAACCTGCTTAGGAAAGCGCGAACGATGAGCGGTAAAATCATGAATCACCTATAAGGTATTCGGTACCGGCCATGTATACATACATTCACACGGCGACGTAGCAAAAGGCTTGCGGATATCTCATCTGAGTCATTTGGGGAACACGCGTGGACAGCAAAAAAGTGACTAGCCTCAATCAGGCAAACACCCGCATCCACATCAAGGAAAGGTACTTCAAGCGGTACTTCAGCTCTTCCTCCCTCCGTGAACCTCCGACCCCTTCGTCTGGGTGTAGAAGCTTGTAAATTCTTGTAAGCTACACTTCTTGGTTGAAACAAGTGACCATGCCCCGAGAAAGTCTTCGAGAATCTAGGCGGAGTTAGACCTTGATACCATCATATCGCAACCACAGCATTCCAGTCCTATCCCTAGCTCCAACCACCCTTCCTTGCTCACTTCAGCTAGTGGTACGAGTGTCCAATCCGCGCTGCATACCTGGAAGTCCGCCCGCATACTGCTTGCCGACGCCATCCAGTCTTACCTCTCGGCTTGTGCGACTCTCAGCGTTGCCTGTACTCGGCCCACACATACACCTCTCGAGCGTACCGTCGTGGAGGACGCGCTCGTGGCGGTAGACGCAGAGCTGACTTCTCTGACTTCGGAGGCGAAAGCACTGCGAGACGCGCAAGTCAGACTGTCCACGCTCAGAAACAAATCTGGAAAACTGACCAGGATCAACGCGTTGCCACCCGAGATCTTGACCTACATTTTTAAACTATCGACAGTCTACTGTATGCGCGACAAAGCGGCCAAAGGATGCTACAATGCGCTCGCCAGAGTCGACATATATTGACGGCGGCTCGCGTTGGACACGCCTCAGCTGTGGACTCACATCGACATCAGCCCAGACGCTCCAACCGGCCGAAGCTTGTATGAGGCGTCGAAGCTACAGCTTGAACGCGCCAAGGGCGAACCAGTCTACTTGCATTTACACGAGCTCAAGCAACCATATGGGACTCCTCACGTCGAGGTTCGCAGGCTGAAGGACTTCCTCGCGCCGTACGCCCCTCGTATTAGTGCACTGGACATGGAAATAGTAAACAAATCGCAGTCGTTGATCAGTTCTGTGCTGGATGCATGCATCGATGGCGGGTTCTCAGCATTGCGGGATTTGCGTATTCGGGTACCCGAGAAGAGTTACAATCTCTACGTTAACGTTCGCCAGCCGGTTGGAAAGAAAGCTCGAAAGCATTCTATTGCCATAAAGTCCCTTCATTTGCAGAACGCCCCATCTAACTGGAGAAGTACAATCTTTCATGGACTTATTGACCTCCGGATTCAAGCTGGCGGCTCGGTTCATGTGGCCGTATCTCTCCAGGACCTCGCTAATGTCTTTGCGCAGAACCCAAGTCTAGTAACCCTGAAACTGAGTGGTATTGATATAGGTAGCTGGTCTTGGGGGGAGGACGAGGCACCACCGCCTGTGGTACTTGAGTTTTTGCAGGTACTCAACCTTATCGATCTTGACCTAGACATTTTGAAGCTCGTATTATCCTTGATCGCTCAACCAAAGCGGTCGGCTCACCTCAGCGCCGGTCTAACCTTCTACGAGAGCGACTCAAACTTCGTGTATGAGGAGTTCTTCGAGCGCTGTCACGTTTCGACCCTCTACCACGAGTCCGATACCGAGTATCTTCAGTCTCGACAGATTCCTCCGAGTATCGACAGACTCATAGTGTTCAAATCAGATATCACCCAACAACCTGTCATCGGCCAGTCTGGATCACTCGATTCAAACGCATCATCCTCCCATCACATACCTTACGTCACCCTCGTATCTTGCGTTGTAGCTCTGGAGGGGCTGGTGAGCCTTATTGCCGATCTAGATATCCAGGTCCTCCGACTCGATTGCTGCCTAATGGACCGGTTAATGGATTCGGAAGGATTAATTCACCATGTCACACAAGATATGGCGGCCTTGTTGCGAGAGGTATACCCTAATCTCACATGTACGGTTTCGGATGTAGACTCCACCGCGCATTTACCGTGCCGCACTATGTTTGATCGTGAAGTTCCGTACTAGAATTGGCCGAATGGAATAGTAATATACATCATTGTCCATGGAAACCTCGCCACGGCTTGCATTGATTCGATAAGTTACAACGTGCACGTCGCGACTGCAGCTGCTCGTTGATGTGGCATGACACGAACCGGGTGTCAAGCGGAATGTATACGCATTAGAACATGAGAAGTCTCGAGAAATTAGACTTACTATAACGTCCGCCAATAGAGTACCTTACATGAAGTTTTCGCAGCCTGTTTGTAGCTCAGTGTAGAAGGGCAGTGGGAATAGCGATGGTGTTCCAAAATCGAAAGATAGAGTTATCATGCCGCGTAGTATATTGAGTGTTTACCGCTTTCGTTGTGAATTTTTCACATGGCGCCTAGAGCATTAAGCCGGACAGGGCCAAGAGGTTGAATCCAGTATGGCAGCAGGAGAGGAATCTGGGGCTTAATGTTTTGCATAGCAGGCAAACAGAATAGAATCAAAGCCACTAGCTGAGTGGTGAGTGTGGTTGAGTAGAGTCCAGATTATAATACAGCAGAGTCAGAACCGGCTGCGAGCTCCGAAACAGAGGGGAAGCGGTTGTGACAAGTCGCGAGGCCGGCTGATGGTCGATGGTGGGAGGAAAGAGGGCCATCAAATACAGAGATGTATGAACAAAGCGTATATTTCCACCAGAAGTCAATGTTCCAAGTATAGTTCACATAAGTATCCTATGCGATATATAATCCCTCCAAACGAGGCACGTTTGAGGATGATGGTCGAGTTCAGAGTTGTCTCGAGCGCTTATGAGCATGGATCAACATGGTCAAACGCGCCACTTTTTGTCCTGATTACCGGTCTTACCTATGATCCCTCGTCACTGTTCATCTAGTGCGAGAAAATTTCCGGTGTGATTCGAGTCCTATGCTCGTCAAATTCTTCCCACCTCACACCTTGGGTTCCCGTATATGTAAAATGTTATTTCTAGTCTATTTCTTTTTGGTCTCTCGTTGCGGAGCTTCGAATGCTGCCATCCAGGTCAGCTTGCACTGATGGACTTCTCGGTACCCCTGTTCGCCGATTCGTGCGCGGATGATAGTGGCTTGCATCTTTCTCCTCATTTGGCCCATATTCGTCGCAGCTTTGCTCGTGCGTAAGCTAAGAGCGACACCAGTATAGATTTAAGATCAGTGGCGTACTTTATGGAGATTCGAGCTCTACGGTATTCGTAGTTCAAGACTCGACAGTAACGTTGGAACCGAACGTCGCGTGTCTTTCTCATTCGATGCAGCACAGCCGGTCTTTGAATCTTCTTCAGCGGCACGATTACTCGGCGATCTTGAGGGAGATCGTTCGCATTAAAGCTTAAATCTGTTTCCGCCTCTTAAACAAACCGAGGTAGTCTCAGAGCCTCACAGCTCCTACTCGTTTGTATATGCGCAAGCACCTGCGCCTGAAGGGAAAAGGTTATGAATTTACAGTATCGACTTGGACAAAGAATGGTTTATTCGCGCATACAGCCCGATCCGTACTTCTCTGTCTTCTTCTCTAACAGTTCCTGCTTCTTCTTCTTCTTCTTCTTCAGCCGCTCCTCCTCCTTCTCCACCGTTTCCTTATCTTTTGTCAGTTCTTCAATCTCAAGCTTCAACTCGGCGATCCTTCTCTCGTTCTGCTTTATTTTTGCTTTATTGGCCAGTATAGCCTCATGGCAGCGCATTGCGGAAGCAAACGCCTGACGTCCTTCTGGGGAGAGTAAGCTCAGATACCTCTGGAGCATTAGCAAGGCGCGGTCGAGGACTTCGCGAGCCGGACCCCGCTCAGCCTTGAAAGCCTCTTCAGGAGAGTGGCTCTCCAGGTTGGAAAGTCTGAGTATGTTGGCCCACTGTTTCACCTCACTGGCCGTGGTCGCATCGAGGTCACGAAAAGCTACCAAGCTGAACCGAACTTCATCCCCAGCCGCTGAAATACAAGCGAGTGACAGGTTACCGCTAAAGAAAGAAACAAAAACGAACCAGCATCGCGTTCAAGAACCTTGTACTGGGCCGATGGCTCGTTCTGTTCTGACAATTCTTTGACCAAGTCTGGTCCTACTCGGTCCGTGCAAGAACCCGCCGAAGAACAGTGGCACGTGTACTCAACCTCGCCGCCTTCGTGTTCTAGAGGGAGATCAGCAATGTATGCGCGTTGTTCACAACAGAACGTACCGCCTCCCATCGATACTTCCCCATTGTCGGGGTCTGTGGAAAAACTGAATAGGAGCGTATTATCTGGTA